TTGATTAGGCAGAAGCTGCGATTGTCATGCGTATCTTTCAGTGAAGAACGGTTTTGTGATCAGCAGTAAATCTCCATCCGAAGGCCAGAGGGCGCTCTCGTGCGGAAACTTCAAATACGCCTCGCAGAAGAAACCCAGGAAATACCTATAGCGGTTGCTGAATAAACAGAAGATTTAACTGCTTTCATTAATTCAACTAATAAACACATGACTCTGAGTTCGTCTTATTATAATTTTTATTATAATAAAGTATATAATAATGCAATGCTAATCAATATAGCCTTTATCACTGCTTAGAATACTGTGAAATATGTTGCGTGCCTTATTCTGTGTAATAAGCCACATCATCTCACAGAAGGATTTATTTCAAACACTTGACTGACGTTATGAAGTGAGTTTGGAGTAAAAAAGTTGATTAAATGTGGTATTTTCACGTGCTTTCAGATGGAGCAGCATTTACTACACAGAGCCTTAGTTCACTGACAAGCTACGCAAACAGCTTTCATAATCGCAGAACGATTTCATAATCGCGCGATTAAATCATCTGCGATTATGAACGTGATTTTGCGTAGCTTGTCAGTGAACTACGGCTCTGTGTAGTAAATGCTGCTCCATCTGAAAGCACGTGCTGGAGATTTACTACCAATCACAGAACCGGCTTTACTGACAAGATGAGCATGAAAATCACATTCGATTAATCTTGCAGCCCTAGCATTTAGCTAACTGGCTACTAAAGCCAAACAGCATTGGCCTTTGTTTATGTCCTTGATATAACCAAAAAATAATGACAGAAACTATACATGGAAAATACATTTCTAAATAATAAAACATACAGGTTGGGGCCCAACAACAGCTGGCTCTGCTTTTAAAGGGTCATGAAACCCCAGACTACTTTTTCTGAGAGTAGAAGAAAAAACTTTTTTTGGCAGAGGTGTTTGTGTTGCACATTATAGAAGACAATGTTAATTTTATAATAAAATTTTATAATTTTAACTGTTTGAGAAAACTAGTTAATTTTAAGCTTTTTTGCGCTATTTTCATCTTCTGGGTTTAAAATCTACATCGTGTTGACGTCACAATTTGTGACATGGCAAAGGACTATAGTACATCAATGACGTTGACGTCGATGACATTATGTTCTTATCCAATGAGAAGACGCTTTGCTTAATTATTCACAACAGCATGTGTTGATTTGCTATGACAGACGCTTCAGATTGTGAGATCGCACACATTAACTGATAGAAACGTTCATGGATCAAAGGAGAGTGTTTGTTTTTGCTTTGTAATAAGAGTTCGGCACAAACGCGATCCATTCACTTAGTGAGTGTAACCCTTTTTACAGCTCTGTGACACAAGCCGTCAAAATGCTTATATAAAAACGCAGCAGAATAAGCCTAAAAAGTTATTAGAGGTGCAACAGCACGTTCATATATATGTTTTCGATGCAGAGTGCAAATGACTGTGCATTTATTTGTGCATTTATGGGAGTGAAATGAAACTGTCTGAACCTGAAGCTGTGTGTTGTCTTTCTCCCCTCTTCCCCCTCCGCTCGCAGCGCACCACGGACACTTTTTTTTTTAGCATTTTTTAAAACTGTAGTGAGAACTAACCAGTGCTGAAACGGGGTTTCGTGACCCTTTAAAGTGGAAACTGCTCCTTGTTTCAGTAATAGCCTTTGTGTGAATCCGGCATTGAACTCGTGTAGATTCTGGAAGCTGTCTTCCGTAAAATGTGCAGCTCAGACAGCTACATTAGGATTGTAATTGTCAGGAACAGTTGTTTATTTAGTGCAGCGTCCGTAGGAAGGCCGAACACAGAAGACCTGTTAGTGGGGTGAAAATAACACCGTTTCGATGGCATGGCTACAACTCTTCCTCTTCTTTAAAGCTGCGCAACATGGCCACGCCCCCTTTGTTACATGTTCCCGGGGGAGGGGTTTATGTAAATTTCTGGGTTTGTAATGTAACAAACCCGGGAAGTAGCTCATTGTTGTAGTCCCTACAAGCCGTTTTTGTAGGCATTAAACTGCCAGAATTTTAAAAGATATCTCCGTTTGCATAGAACTTTCAGTGCCGTAACTTTGCAGATATTGTTTATGCTCAAACAGCAACATTACACACTAACTAATGTTAAAAAAGTGAAATTGCAATCAACCACCCCTTTAAATATTTTATTATAAGGCTGCACGATTGATCATATTTTAATTGTGATCACAATTTCTGTTTCTCATGATTTATTAAGAATATCATCTGCGATTATTTGCCAACTGTTTATTTATCCTGAAAATGTTTCATTTTAATTTGGCATTTGAGTTATATTGGATTGGTAAGAAGCCTCTACAAGCTTTGATGGTTGCATATGGTTGCTGAATTTCAATCCTCCAATCAGAGTTTTTCTTGGATTTACATTTTCCACCCAGTGTTATACTTGATCTACCAAACCTGGCAACCATGTGCAGATTGCTCACATGCTCTGTCTACATTTACGGAAAAGTGCTGATGAGCTGAAAACACCAGCCAGCATGGGGATCTCTACTGAGATATTCTACTCAAATAAAAGTGTAATACAACCAGTATGTTTTCTTCCGCTTGGTTGTTTGCGATGTTTATGTAATGTGTGATTAATAATGTGATTATATTTTTTGAGTAAAATAATTGTGATTAAGCATTTAACCATTATCGTGCAGTCCTTATATTAATTTAGTACATAAATATGAAATATTCATATTTTTAAAAAATTATATTCATATTTTAGTTCAAACTTACAGAATTTGCCATTTTTTAGGTTAGCTAAAAAACTTATTTTAAGTAATTAAGTTAATGCATTATCAAAAATAGCCTTTGTTGCATGGCTATGTAACATAAAAAAATCCATGGCAAAAATATCTGTCATATGTTGATGTAGTGTTACTGTGCTATTACTTGTAATCATACTGTTAATTAAAGAAAGACTTTTGTTCGTAGTGCCAATGTATCAGTGCCGTTTTGATAAATACAAGAGCTTTTGAGCTAAATCATTAAACAGCCTGAACCTTCTCTTTGTGATGTTGTTCAAGGACACAGCAGATCTCTGAAAGGGAGAAAGTGTACACTCAGGCTTGACAAGCTTTTAGCGAGTGTCATATTGAGCCATGGTTTTAATCTGCCCTTGATGTTTGTCCATCTCATTGCTTTCCCCATACGGTTTCATTTTCAAAAGCCTGCACTATCACAGAGAAGTTTCAAAACATGTCAGCACTACGTTTCTCTGTCTCGCTCTGACCCGAACCCACAGGGACGATCTGAAATGTAATCTGTGACTGTTTCTCTTAGGTGGGACGTGTCTACCCTCAAGCAGTGTACTTTCCAATCCGAACCCTGTACCTGACGCTGAAAATCGAGCAGAGGGAGCGCTACAAGAGCGGTATGACTGGAGTTTTTTCAGAACCTTCACACCAAATAAAAAGTCCTACAAAAGTCAACTTTTTCCTTCATGTGCTGTCTTTTCTCTTTTCCCCAGATTCTGGCCAGCAGCAGCCCAGTTCGGCGGCTGCTCAGACCCACTCAGCGTCCGACCCGGGTCCCATCCGTGCCACTGCTCCCATGTGGCGCTGCAGCCGGATCATGCACATGCAGCGTGAGCTCCACCCCACCCTGCTCTCCTCTCTGGAGGGCATCGTGGACCAGATGGTCTGGTTCAGGGAGAACTGGCACGAGGAGGTGAGCGGTTTTATGTGTTTTTGGATTCCAGAAGTGAGTGGCTACCTCTTAAAGCACATCAGCCCGGAGCGCAAGTTAAACATGACATGAATGCGTTTTCTGTCTGGTTTGCTTACGTTCTTTAGTCTAATGCCGCATGCTCTCGTACACGTAGCTGTTTTCAGAGGGCCGGCTGAGCAGATGAAAGCTGACAGAGGGGAACGTTTGGGGCTCAGTGAGGCTGAAAAGTAGTTTTGCAGCGCAGGTGGACATTGGCGCTCCAGTGCTAATCGGGCTTTGGAGAGGGGCTCGCCGTGATTGATGGGTGAGGGGAGTGTAGACTGAATGTAGTGAGATTGGATTGCCGTGACAGGGCTGATTCGGAGATGTGTCCAGGCTGGACAGGGACGCAAGAGCCCCGCTCCTGTGGGACACTCGGCGAGAAACAGAAGAAGAAGAGGACGGGAAAGGGCGAGGAAAGAAAGTTTAGCAAGGAGAGCTGGAGGATGAAAGAAATTGGCATTGAGAGAGCTCAGTGAAGTAGAACGTGGGTTTAATTTTCCAGACATTGATGAAGTGTAGTCTCAGACTAAATTAGTATGTTAATGTCGATCTTCTTCACTTGAAGTCTAAGCTTAATCTCTGCAGCAGAGACCGGTAGAGGCGGGCTTTTACTGATCTCTCTGGTGGACATCTTCGCCTGAAGGATTTTTGTTATTATCAAAATGGCAAATTGGATTGAATATGTGGGAATGGTGTTATCCTTCATGGTGAATTGATAAATACTTGTTAACCATTCATCCTCGTTTCTTGGTTTCTCATTTTTCCCCTCATGTTCTTCCTCAGGTCCTGCGGCAGCTCCAGCAGGGCCTAGCTAAATGCTACTCGGTGGCATTCGAAAAGAGTGGAGCCGTGTCCGATGCTAAAATCACTCCGCATACGCTCAACTTTGTAAAAAAGCTGGTCAGCACGTTTGGCGTGGGCCTGGAAAATGTCTCTAATGTGTCCACCATGTTCTCAAGTGCTGCCTCAGAGTCCCTGGCCCGCCGAGCTCAAGCCACCGCTCAAGACCCTGTGTTCCAGAAGATGAAGGGCCAGTTCACCACAGGTCAGAGAACACTCACAGTTCCTGTGCACATTATTTTACATGGACAAACGTCTTTCAGTTAAGTGACATTTTTCCACCTGTAACTTATGCAATGCAACTTTCTCCACATCTGAAGCTAACATAACTAAGAGTATGTAGGTGTGGAAAGATTATCATACGGTGTGTTCCTACAGTTATGAAAAACGTAGAAATATCAGGGAATTTCAAAAGTGTGAGTTTCAAGCCTGGAAAAGTCATGCAAATTAATAAAAAACAGAATAGGTTGCATAAAATAAGTCGTGGAAATTTCTTTAGTTTAATAATAATCAATATAAATGTGTCTGATATGATGCTGATCTGAAAGTATTAACAAAAATCCTCCTATGAAAATGGAAATAATTGGTTAAACTGTTGGAATCCTCATCATAGTTGGATTTTCATGATCCAATTAAATCTAAGAATCAACCCCTACGTTTCTTGTTTTACTCTGAAATATCACATTACAAAAGTTTAGGTCATTGTGAATGCCCTTTCCTGTTGCCTTCAAATGTAGTTTCATTTTATTTAACACAAAAGCACAGATAAAATAATTCAAGTCAACTGACTCTTTGAGAATGAGCTGTCACACGTGGACTTCTCAGAAGTGTTGACAGAAGTATAAATTGCAGGCAGCGCACTTGAAGGATCACGTCTCCTGTGCACAATTACACATGCTCCCGCTCTTGTCTCTGTTCTACATAACCACTTGTGCTTGAGTTAACCACAGGCCTCTCCACAAGACCGACTCAGAATAATTGGCTCTGTGAACCATGTGATTAGATTTAATGGGAAGATGACTATGGGCAGAACCATGTGTACATATATCAAGGTGCTGTTGACGGTAAAGAAATTACACAGCTTTAGGTAAACAAGCTTGCCAAAAACACTACACGTGCCTATTATGTGTAGATTCATTTTGAGGAAAAAAGTACACAATAATCTTTCAAAATGTTTTGTATTTTTTTTTTTTTTTTTTTAAGTTTTTTTT